CATTTCCTTTCCCAGAATGGGGGAGTTCTCATTTATTGTTTGTTCAAATAATTTTTCCACTGGTTGCTCTTCCTCTTCTCCTTCTGGTACCCCTATAATTTGGATGTTGGAACGTTTCAAGATGTCCCGGAGGTTCCTAAACTTCTTCTCATTTTTTTGAATTCTTATTTCTTCATTCTTTTCTGTTTGGTTGTTTCTTTTTTCCTTCTGGTCCGCTCCAGTAATGTGAGACCCAGCTTTGTTTCCATCACTATTGGTTCCCTGTGTATTTTCTTCATTTCACTAATTGTAGCCTTCATTTTTTCATCTAATTTGTGACCAAAACCAACCAATTCTGTGAGCTTCCTGATCACCAGTGTTTTGAACTGTGCATCTGATAGGTTGGCTATCTCGCGGTCGCTTAAAAGGATGGGTTCTGGGGCTTTCATTTGGTCTTCTGTTTGAGCCTTCTCTCTCTCTCTCTCTCTCTCTCTCTCTCTCTCTCTCTCTCTCTCTCTCTCTCTCTCTTTGGTCTGGTCACACCTGTTGTGGTGAGGGGTGGAGCCTTAGGTGTTCATCAGGGTGGGGCACCCCAGTCTCTGGGTTGTGACATTGTATGTGGGGGTGGGGTCAGAGAGGGAACAATGGTGCTTGCTCAGTTCTCTGTGGGACTTCATTTCCTTCTGCTGCTTCCCCTGAGCAAACTGGGCCCCTCTGGTGCCAATTACCGTGTGGGTGGGCTTGTGCACACCATGGGACCCTCCAAGGACCTCTCCTGGGAGGCTGGGTGTCTCTCCGTGCACCTCAACTCCCACAGGTGTCCTCAATCAGTGTCTCCAGGCTCTCTTTCCCAGCACTAGGATCCTGGGTTGTGCGCACTGCCTTGCTTTACAATCGCTGCCTCACTGGGTCTTCCGGTAGACACCCCTTAGCTGGGGTCTTCCAGCTGCCGCTTGAGCACTCAGGGTCCACCTGCTGTGGTCTTGAGTGTCTGGGATGGCTTATGCACCCCTGGATGCCTTTCATGCCTGGTCCCAACTCTCTGCTCTCCATGCTGCGACTCGTGCCTGGCTGCCCGACTCTGCCTTTCCTACCGGTCTGGATGAATGGATCTATTTCTACTTCTTGGTTGTCCGACTTCCATCCAGATTAGATCAATTTTCAGATCAATTTTTCTGTCAGTTCTGGTTGTTATTCTGTTTCTAAATTTTTGTTGTCCCTATCTTGATTGTGTGAGGAGGCATAGGTGGACAAAGTATAAATAATTTCTTTTCTTCATCTGAAATCCTGACTCAGTGATAACAAATATTAATAGTTTCTCTATAAACACAAATACATAGGCTTTTTGTTTACAGTTTAAATAAATATTGTGCTATAAATTACTCTATAATGTTTTTAAACAAACTGCCCTGACTATATCAATGTATATTCTAAGATGTTAATAGCCACCTAATAGTCCATTATATAGGAATACTATAATTCAACTACTCTCCTTCTGACTTTTTTATTACTAATCTGTAATACATATTTTATACATATTTCCTATGTATTGGTGCATTTATTTTGGTTAGAAGGTTGCTAAGCCAAAGTATATGTTTATTTTATATTTTAGTGAACAATACTAGACTCCTTTCCAAAAGGCTAGAGCAATTTATTCTTGCTTTGTTTGGAAGGGTCCTATTTCCCACATTCTTATCATCCCTAGGTAACACTTTGTTTAACTTTTGCCAGTCTGATGGATGAAAAATAGCACTTCTTTATTCCTGTAATTTACAATGTGCTGATTCCTAGTGAGAAAAAGTATCTTGTTTATGTTTATTAGACTGTCTTTCATTTGCATGTTTACATTCTTTGTCCATTTTTTTCTTATTACAATATTTTGGCATGAATAATACATACTTTTTTGTCCAAATTTTTGAGGGAAAAATAAGGATGTGTATTATACATGGGTCTTATGATTACATACTATGGGTATAAATAGTGGCTATAATAATCCCATGTATAATGCACACAAAAACCTGGGTATGCATTACACATTGAGGCACATTATATATGGCAAAATATGGGGTAATTTGTAGGCCCTCTTCACCTGTAGGAAGTCTTAATGCCTTGTCTGTTTGAGAAATGTATTATAAATTCTTTTCCTACTCCATACTTTAAGAAGTGAGACCTTTATAAGGAGACCTTATGAGACTTTATGAGACTCCATAAACATTTTGGGTTTCTAAAATGTTTAAAAGGTTCTTCTTTACAGGAAGAATATACAAATACTCTCCTAAATTTTTCCCAGAATTTATTCTTCTCTCCTTCCTTCCTTGCCTTGACCTGCATGGCTAGATCAGTCATGTCCTGAGGGAAGGTGAGGCAGGAATTGAGAAATCAAGAAACAGAGTCAAAGAGTCAGGTGGAGTCCCTTCTCTGGGATACAGAAGAGGGAACTGTTTATTGGTGAAGTCAGGCTGTATATATTGAGTAAGCTTTGAAGCAGCATGAAAAAGACAAACCATGAGGCTAGGTACATTTTATTTTCTAAGAACATTTGCTGCTCCTTCTTGGTATAGTGATATAGCAAGCAGCCAAGTCATTCTTTCCTTACAACAATCTGTCAGGCAGTCTTCTGTGGCCTAGGGCAGCTGTGCTGAACCTGAGGCCTGCTTCCAACTCCCTTGGCATGCAATATCTTGCTTGGATCTCCACATTTCCCTTTTTTCTTTTTTCTAATTGCACCTGATGCATCTTTACTCATGTATAGAATAATTGGGTTCACAGTTTTGGGCAGACTAGGGAAAAAGCACAGAACATAATTAGCAAAAACCTACCTAAGCCAATGAGATAGCATAAGGAATGCTTTAACAAATTAAAGGGGTTAAATCCCTGCAATTTTTGTAGCAGTTTATGGGCTATTTGAGCAAGGTCAATTATAGAAAGATACGCATTCTGTATTTGCAGTATTTCAGAATGTAATTGCTTTATATCTAAACTTATGTTTTCATGACTATAAATTCCCATTAGATGGTTTTTCACTTTGTCCCAGTCCCATACAGAAGTATCACAAGGAATGGGAGTTATATAGACATATGTGTATTGAGGGTGGCATTGAAGCTTGGAATGGAGAGTCAAGGCTTCTACCCTATTTTGCCTAAGCCAATGACTACAGCCTCTAAGGCATTAAGTTTGGCCTCTAACTTTAAATCTATATTTTCTTGATCTCCTAATGCTATTGACACATTATGAGCTAAATTATTAACAAAATCAGCATTATGAATACTTTGTGTTAATGCAACCATGGCAGTGCTAGCAGTGTCTATGAGTGTTATTAGAGCAATGATTCCTGTAATGATGAGCCCAATGGCTCATCACATGTGGGTTAAAGCCTTTTGCACTTCTTCTAGGACTTGAAGCCATATATCAGCATACCAAGGGCCAGTCAGATTTACAGGAAGCATAACGAAAGTAGGTTGATACAGAATCAATAAAGCCTTATTTTGATTGTAATGAGATACACAATTAGAAAGATTAAAGCTATGACACTGGACTAAGAAAGTTTAGTCCTGCAAAGTAATATTTAAATTCCCTACTACAATAACATAAAGCAGTTGAACACAGGCCCACAACCCATGTGCCCAATGGATCCCCAAGTCAGATATACTTCCTGCAGACATGTTAATGAACTGTAGGGTCATTCCAAGATGCCAAATGTTCTTTTGGAAAAATTCCTTTGCTGTGGTCAGGATATTGGAGATGAAACTGTCAGGGGTCCAGTACCGAATGTTAGGGTGAACTGGATCCAAGGGGTGGCTCCAATCATAGAGTATGAGTCCAGTTCCAGAAACATTACTCATCATAGGCAGGATGCCAGCACAATCAGTCCATGGAGGGAATCTACTCCATGTAACATGAGAGCCATTAGGGCAATAAGGAAATGGTGGATGAGAAACACTCACAGTTCTAGTTGTGTTAGGAAAACCCCATTTTGACACAGTCATAATATATTTGGCAACATTCCATGGACCTGTTACATTAGCAATGTCTATCCACCTATAAGCCATTTTACATTCCTGTTGTAGGTAAACATACCCTGGTTGTACCTTAGGAGACAAGCAAAGACGGGGCTTGCTAGCTCATCCCTCATATGAATAATTCCCACAGGACTGTGGCACAATATGTTTAGAGTTAGAACCCCCCATGAGACGCATGTCATTTACAAACACCGGGATTGAGGGTCCTTCCCAGGGCTGGGAACAGCAATGGAGGCTCTAGAAGGTAAGCGCAAAAAGGATCAGCAACTCCCATACCCACCTGGGTAGCAATGATAGCTAACATGGCTACAAGGAGGGTAGAAGCATCACAGGGAGCAGATAGCTGGTTGACTAAGCCTTGTGCTTGCTCAGTCAGTTTCTCTAGTTGTTCCTGTGTCGGAGGTTCAGCCAGACCCATGCTATGGGTCAGCAGCCTTGACACCCTCTCCCTGGGTTGTCTGGGGCTTATCCTGAGCTGTTTCACCTTTCTCTCCAGGGTATCCAGGAGTGGAGGCTCATAGGGTTCCATCACAGATGCGGACCAGTCTCGCTGGGACCCAAACAAGTCGGGATTCAGGTAGGGAATACACACACATATCCCTGTCCCCTTGTTAATATAGGGTCAGGATCCTGCCATTGGCCTGTGGCAAGATCCTTTCACTTGGCGGAAACTAGATCCTTGGTAACTGTAAATGACTGGTGTTTTTCGGCAGGAGTAATCCCTTGCTCATCAAAATTTAAAAAATTAAGAGTATAGAAGGCTAGTCCTAGCTGTCTTTGTGGGGTATTAGTATTGTCTCCCCCTTTTTGTTTTTCAATATAGGTTTTAAGGGATTTGTTAACTCGCTCTACAATGGCTTGTCTCTGAGAATTTTAAGGGATGCCTATGACATGAGTGATTTGAAAGTATGTACAAAACTGTTGAAATGCCCTTCTGCAATATGCAGGTGCATTATCAATTTTGAGCTGTGTAGGGCATCCCATAACAGAGAACATCTGGAGACAGTGAGAGATAACATTTTTAATGCTTTCTCCAGTGTGATAGGAAGCCCATGTGAAATGAGAAAAGGTATCAATGGTTATGTGAACGCATGCCAATTGGCCAAATGCAGGGATTCATGTAACATCCATTTGTCATAGATGGTTGGGTCAAAGTCCATGAGGATTGACCCTGACGACAGGTGAGAGGAAGTGCACAATGCAGTGAAGGCACTTTTTGATAATTTGTCAAGCCTGTTCCCTAGTAATAGGGAACAAAGCATTGTGGCATTGACATGAAATTGGGAGTGCATGTCTGTGGCTTGCTGCAAAGGTGTGTATGCACAAGAGCAGAGACTAGCAGATCAGCATTATGATTGCCCTCCACTAATGGTCCAGGTAATTGACTATGAGAGTGAATATGTTCAATAAAAAAATGGAAAGGCTCTCTTGTGGACTAAAGATTGTAATTTAGTAAAGAGGTGGAACAATTCCTCAGAGGACATGTGTCCAAAAATTGCTGACTCAATATGTCATACAGTATGGATGACACAGTGACTGTCACTATAAATATTGACAGGTTCTGCAACAAAATGAGTTAAGGCCATACAGACAACATAGAGTTCAACACTCTGAGCAGATGAATAGGGGGTGGTTTCAACCAAAGTTTGCTGAGGGGTATAAACCCCAGGTTTTCCAGAACTTGACTCATCGGTGAATACTACCGCTGCCCCTGAAATGGGAGTCAAAGTTACAATCCTTGGAAAGATAAAGGGATGTCTCTGAGAAAACCAAAGGAGTTTATCAGCAGGGTAATGATTGTCTATTTGACCAGGATAAGCAGCTAGGGCTATTTGCCAATAATTTGCATTTTCCCACAGCTGTAGTTGTTAGGCAGCAGAATAGGGGCCTACAATTTTATTTGGCTCCAGCCCTAACAATTGTTTGAATCATTGTCCTTTACTGATTAACCAGCAGACAACTTCTGGGTAAGGGAGTAAAGATTTCGTGGGGAGATGGGAGGCATGGAGCCATTCTAGAATGCCCTGGGTTTGCCAAATAGCCCCAGTGGGAAGATAAGGTGTGGGTAAGATAAGGACCCAAACTTCTTGAGTCAGGTCAATCTGGGTGACCTGAGAGTCTTGAATAGCTTGCTCTACTAATTGTAGAGCCTGTAGGGCAGTTTTGTCAAGTTGTAGTAGGGAGGAAGGGTCAGGGCTTTTTTTTTAAGAATATTAAACAGTGGATTGAGTTGTCCTGTAGTTAATTTTAAGGTTGGTCAGATCCAATTAATATCACCTAGTAATTTTTGGAAATTGTTGAAGCTTTTGAGAGAATCTCATCTGATTTGTAGGTTTTGGGGATGAATGTGTCGTCCTTCAATAATATAACCTAAATAGGAAAATGGGTGTTGTTTCTGCACATTTTCCAGGGCTATTTTTAGGCCCCACTTTTCTAGTTGTGGAACTACTTCTTGGAACAAGGAGAGAAGTAACTCCTCACTTTGATGAGATAGTAAAATATCATCCATATAGTGGATAATATAAGCCTTGGGGTATTTGTCACAAATAGGTTGAAGGGCTTGTGCTACAAACTTTTGACAAAGAGGTGGACTGTTGGCCATGCCGTGGGGTAGTACCCTCTGACAGTAATGCTGCACAGGTACCTGCCAATTGGTGGAAGGAATGGAAAAGGCAAACCACTGACAGTCTTCAGGTGAAAGTGGGATAGTAAAAACCATATCCTGCAAATCAATGATTATAAGATGATAGTCCCAAGGGATTGCTGTAGGAGTGGGCAAACCAGGCTGTAAAGGGCCTATAATTTGCATGGTCTCATTGATCTTGCACAAATCCTGCAACAATTACGACTTTCCTGATTTCTTTTTTATGACAAATATAGGAGTATTCCAAAGACTCATAGTAGGCTGAATATGGTGGGCTTTTAGTTGTGCTTCTACTAATTGTTGAGCTGCTATTAATTTCTCCCCTGTGAGGGGCCACTGGTCCACCCACATGGGGGTGTCTGACAAGCAGGCAATAGGGTCAGCTGTGGTTGCCAGAGGGGGAGCTTTTACTAGGGTCCCTACCCTAAATTTGAATGTTGAGTTTGCATCCCTAGTCAGATGTTTTGTGCGAGGGGCTGTCTCAGAAGGCATTGTCCTACCTTGGTTGTTAACTCCAAGCTCTTGATGAGGCATCAATCTTTGATTAAACATGATTTGAGTTACAGTTTTAGAAGGGCTGTATAGAGATATACACCCATTTCAGATAATACATCTTTTCCCCATAAATTCACAGAGATTGAAGGAAGGAAATAGTGTTGGAACCATCTTGAATGCCCTTCAGCATCGTGCCACTTGAGAAATTTTGTGCTTTGCAGAGGGGTCTGAATTTGTCCTACACCCTGTAATTTAGTAGATACCTCTTGAAGAGACCATGCCTGTGGCCAGGGAATTTGAACAATAATGGAAACATCAGCTCTGGTATCTAGGAGACCTTTAAATGACTTTCTTTCTATGGTAAGGTTCATTTGAGGCCCCATCTTTTTAACCACTTGTATCCAAAAGACAGCATCAGAGGAACCAAAGCCTTTGTTCCATCTAGGTTCATCCGTAATAACCTTTCCCATGGCCTTAATAAGGGAGGAGTAGCAATTGTGCTATCCTTGTCTCTGGCAATGTTTGAATAATGACAGAGGCCTGTGCTATTACTTTCAACTCTCCTGTATAGTCTTCATCTACTATTCCAGGAAAAACTTGAAAATCTTTAGCAGTGAGACTGCTTCACCCTAAAATGATTCCTACGGTGCCGGAAGGCAATGGCCCAAAAACCCCTGTGGGGATGACTTGAAGACCCATCTCAGGCATTAGTACTTGTTGGGCAGTGGGATGGAGGTCCAATCTGGCACTCCCTGAGGTGGCTCTGGACAGTTGGGAGATTGAAATTCCTGCATCATGGCCCCTATTCTTTGCCAGGGCCAGGCCAGGTCCTGTGAGGAGTTTCCCAACGGTCCCCTGATGGGCTCATCATTAGTGTCAGTTTTAGAGCAGCACTCGTTAGCCCAATGCTTACCCTGGCAGTAGCAAGGGCAAAGGGCCGGGGCAACAGGGGTTTTACCCTTTTGCCCTGCATTTGCAGTGCTTTTTCCCATTTTTTGAGGACAGTTATGGGCGAAGTGTGTACTCTACTTGCAGTTAAAGCAAGCACTTTTTGTCCCCAAAGTTCCTTTGAGAGTGGCTGCAAGAGTGACTCCTTGGATATAGGAGGGGCCAATATCTGCAGATTCTAATAAAATAGTAAGATTCCCCTTCTTATATGGCCTTAAGGCAGCTTGGCAGACCTTATTTGCATTTTCAAAAGCTAGCTGTTTGACTAATCTATTACCAACCTTGGGATCCCCTATCAATTGTCCAGTAGCCTGGAGGAGATGGGAAACAAAATCCTGATAAGGTTCTTCTGGCCTCTATTGGATTTTGGTGAGGTCTTGAGATTTTTCTCCTTTGGAAGGAAGGCGGCACCAAGCTTTGGTGGTGTATGCTGTAATTTGTTGGTAAGCTTATAAAGTATACCCTAGCTGATTCTGCAAATTCTCATATAATCCAGACCCAGAAAGCATTTCAAATGTAATAGGTATGTTATGATTTTGATTTCTGTCTGCCTGTTGTGAGCTCTTTTCATACTAATCAGACTTCCACATCAGGGAATCCAACCCCCCCACCCCCCCGCCCACCGCGCCACCCATAAGCATGCTTTGGCTAGTACAATCCAGTCTTTTGGTGCCATGACTTCAGAGCCAATGGTATCAAGAAGAGCCAGGGAAAAAGGGGATGTTGGCCCATACATACTGCAAGAAGCTTTTAAGTCTTTTAAAGTTTTAAAGGAGAGGACCTTGTGATATCTTTGTCTGTTGTTAGGATTTTGTGGATCAGGCCTCTTAAACACAGGGAATAGCATAAATCCTTGTATGTCCTCTCCCAGATCCACAGCTTTTAGTAAAGCCCTTTCTTTGTAAGGGAATAGTTTCTGACAGTCCTACTGGACTATGATAAGGAGGAGGAGCTTTGGAACATGAGGGGTTAGTGGGAGAAAGTACTTCAGTGAGCTTAGCTTGGTCTGGAGAGGATAATTGAGACATTTGCTTTACTAATCCTACTACGGAGTCCTCGTCATCAGAATTATTAGGGGGCTCATCCTCTTGCATTCTCTGCTGCTGATCCCCAGCAGCTTCCTGTTCCACTTCTTGTTCAAACTCTAGCGGCAGCGGCTCGCCACTGGGCTGTAGCCGGGGAGCAGTTGCCTTCAAAGTAGTAGATCCCTCTACAGTATTAGCGAGGGTTTCAGCTGCTGGTTTTAGCACCCTACATTCTTCCTTTTCAGGATCTAGAGCTTTTCTAATCAGGGTCCACTAAGTGAAAGCAAAGATTGGAATCTGCTTGGTCCCTTCTGCTGTATATCTTTCTCTATTTTTTAGGCCTACCCGAGCCCACATATATTCATTTACTGTGCTGTCTTCAGGAAACCAAGGCCAAGTTTGCTGTACATAGGTTAAGAATTACTCCAGCTGTGTGGTGGGGACTTACTAGTGGCCTGTGCAGGTAACATGGAGCACAGCATTTGTGTATACAGCCGCTGCTTGGCCAACCCAGAATTCCAATTTTACACCTGCTTGCTATAAATCCTTTTCACTCCCCACTTACTGTACCATGGCCACTCAGGAGTGTCCCCTCGTCTTCTGGCTGGGGAGTTCCCTCATACTTGGGTCCCTGTTCCAGGCACCACCTGCCACAACCCGTGGGGCTAGATTCGTCAGGTCCCGAGGGAAGGCGAGGGGGGATTGAGAAGAGACAGAATCAAAGGGGAGTCAGGTGGAATCCCTTCTCTGGGATGCAGAGAGGGGAACTGTTTATTGATGAAGTCAGGCTGTATATACTGAGTACTCTTTGAAGCGGCATGAGAAAGACAAACCATGAGGCTAGGTACATTTTATTTTTTAAGAACATTTGCTGCTCCTTCTTGGTATAGTGA